TATCTCATAAATAAGCACAAATTGGCTAGCTAGAACAGTGAACCAATGATTAAGACAAACCCTAACAAGGCCTTTGAATCTAGGGACGAGTTTTATTGCACGCATGTTATGCATGGTCCTATGGGTCTGGGTAAGTTTCTCATGCAATGGGTCAACAAATCAAGAGCATGGGACTTAACCAAGTATCAAGCGTGTGGCTGTTCTTAATTTGAAACCATGAATTGATGATAACTCCAGAGTTTCTTAAATATTAAGTGCCTCATGATTATACCGGGTCAAAATATAATTAACTAGGTAGAAGCTAAGCAAAGCACTAAAAATGAAGGGAGAGAGGCCTTCACACACTATTTTAGGTTCTCATACGCTTCTTTTGATTTTTGGCCATCCAATTGAATAATTCAAACGAAAATAACGGTCTAGATTAAACAAAAGTGTGTTTGAGGCTAAAAAGGATGTGTTTATTATTTTCCAAATAAAATTCATCATTCCTTAATTCTTATATATTTTGCAAAATAAAAATAAGAAATAAGGATGCGGAGGCACTGAAGAGAGTTAAAAGTAGGGTTCGGTTCGGTTCTAAACGGTTCTGTTTTTTGCCAGAACCGAAATTTTGGTTCGGTCCAATTTTTTTCGGTTTTTTTTTTCAGTTCGGTTTTTTTCGATTTTGATTTTTTTCGGTTTGGTTTCGGTTTTTTCATGAATTTTTTTTTAATATCTGGAGCTTGAAGCACATTTTTTTTTTCGCATTCGGCTGCAAATTTACCCTTTCTCTCCACACTCCGCAGATCCAAAGCCCTCTCAAGCAAAGATGAAGGTGGTCGCTGCATACTTGTTGGCTGTGTAGGGCGGCAAGACCACCACAATTGGTGGAGGTGGTGCTGTTGCAGTTGCTACAACTAGTTGTGGTGGTGGTGTTGACGCTGCCCTTGCTGCACCTAAGGCAAAGAAAGAGGAGAACCAAGCAACTAATGATATTAGGGGAGAAAAAAAAGAAAAGGAAAAAAATGGGTGAGACTCTCACAACACAAAAATCAAACAAATCTGCAATACGAACCATAACAACAACCCATAAATTTACACCAAAATTTCATATTCCCTCCATGGAATTTACTCTTAAAAAAAAAAATCGACAAAAAAACAAGAGAGGTTGGAGATCTTACCCTGGAGTGAGAAGATCGAGAAACGGAGAGAAAACAACGGAGAAATTGGAGGCATGGACATGGAGGGAGATAGTTTGGAGGCACAGGGGACGAGAGGGAGAAGAGGGGAATGAAAAATAAAAAAGGTATGGCTGCTACCACTAGTGGCTAGGGTTTTGTTGATTTCTAATTCCACAAAAGACTATAGATTTCAATCTTTATAAATACTTTAATCTTACAGTCATAACAAAACAAGACTCGTTGCCAAGTTGGTTTCAGTGAAACCTTTCAACCTGAAAAGCTTGGGTTTGAACCCTCAAGCTTCCAGGGTTTCTGATATTTTTTTTAATTTTTATGATTTTTATAATTAAAATATTATAAAAATAATTAAATATATATATTGGTTCGTTTCGGTTTTTTTCGGCCTCAATCCTATTAGGTTCTCGGTTTTTTTCGGTTTTCGGTTTTTTGAACCCACCCCTAGTTAAAAGGTGAAATAAAACTATTTTGAACGTTCCTTGGCGCACTGGTTTACATATATATATCCATTATTTTGGGGTACTGGTTTAAAATTCTTCTTTGGTTAAGGGATCTCTTAAATAAACTTTTTTTTTGGAGGACAATCTCTTAAATAAACTTATTTGAGGATCTTTTTGTAGAATGATCCACCCATACATCTTTCGGTTTTTTCTCAAAGACTATCACTACCAAAATTCACCTAAATTCGATACCATTTGACCGTTAGATTAAATGGTAGTCATATTAGTTCTTCTTTGAAAAATTATATTCGTCTATTTTTTACACTACAATTGAATGTATTAATAATTTTAAATTTATCTAATTTTTTTTTTAAAGAATGATCTATAAATAAAAAACGTTATGTAATAAAGATCAAAAGGTGTCCCTTAAATAAAATATTTGAGAAATCCCTCAAGGGACTGCAGGTTCACATATTTATTTATTTATTTACTGTTTGTCAACCCAACAATGGAATTTCTTTAACAAAAGAAAAAAAAACCTAACAATGGAATAAGACATTCCACATGATATTCATTCCATTTCAGTTTTAAGAATCATTCTTGATTCTAATAATTAAACATGTTGCAAGTTAATTAAAAGTGGATAAATTAGGTTATCTTTTTTTTTTTTAAATGAGACAACTAGTGGGAAGCCATGATTATTCACTTTTTCCGGGATAAATTAGGTTATCATTCTTTGTTTTTATTTTTATTTATAAATTGATTTTTTTTCTTGTCATTATTTGAATAATAAATTATTTACATGTCATCATATGTACATTTTAAAATGTTAAGCTTATTAATCATTTCCAAGGGGAACTGTTATTAGCACTCGAAAAATCTCATTCTACATTCATCACAAGTATATTTTTCTTTCTAATTATAGAAAGTTTGGAGTGCACAATGAGATTTTTTTAGTGCAAATAACAATTCTCTTTCCAAATATATCTTTTAGTATTTTTGATATATTTTTATTTTAAATTTGTACCCATTTTTTTAATTTGTACAAATATTCTATTAAATTTTAATTTGTACCCATACTTTTAATTTTAATATGTACTCATATTTTTTAATTTAATTTGTATTCATCTTTTTCTTTTTTTGCTAAATGTACCCATGTTAATTGCATGTATTTATTTTATTTCTTAAAATATATTAATAATTACGTGGGTACATCATCTTTTTGCTTGAACTATGTGAAGACTATTATTGATTTTTAAGTAATTATTATATTATAGAAATATTATTTGAATTTGTTTAAATTTCATTATTTGTGGGATATTGAATGCATAAATGCAGAAGTTAAATCCCTTAAATGATGTTAGATATCTCGATCAAACTATTTAAACAAACAATGTTTCATTATAACTATTAGGAAACTTCCCCAAAATGCGGCAAAGGGGATAAATCTCCCTTAAATTTGGCAAAAGGGTCAAAATTGATCCTAAAACCAGAAAGAAAGTTAAAGCATCTTCATAAAACAAGCAAGAATTGAAGATTGCTCACAAAATAGGCAACAAGGGCTCTTAAATTTGGCCAAGCAAGGGAATTAATACACAAAACATGCCTAAATTCTCCCATGGATGAATTAGGACATAAATCAAAGCCAAATCCATCCAAAGGCAAGCCTTGAAAAGCCTATAAATACAAGGTCCTCATACAAGCATAAGGGTCGAAAAATCTCTAAACTGAATAACCTCTGCCAAACCTTTGAAGACTAATACGCTGCCAAAGCTCTCTTCGAAGAACATTCAACCAAAGCCAAAGCACTTCCTTGAAGAATCAACAAGCGTTTGTGCCGATTCCTTCAAGGCTTTATTGCAAGCTTAGAAACTTGTAGCAACGTTCGTTTCAAGATCAAGTCGCCAAGATCCTTGAAGCAACAAAATCCCACATCAAACACTACCTTTGCCGCACCCTTGAGGTGAAGATCATCCACACGTTGTTTTCAAGCTCAAAACTTGAAGCAATCGTTTGCCCGAGATTAAGTCATCGCGACCCTTGGATCAACAACCTACGCATCTACATCTAACTTGAAGACTAAATCAAAGGAAAATTATAAACAAAGATTGTAACGTACAAATTCAAATCAATACAAATCTACTTTGTACACGTGTTCTCGTTTTATTTGTTACAGAATTTTCATGTTTACAGTATGTATCTGTAAACAAAACCTATTGCAGTTTTTGCACTCCGTTTGGGTATCTCTCAAACGATGCGATTAAATCTTCAACATGAGTCATCCATAGACCATAGCTAATCTAAACCCTGACCTCTCTCCTAACCCTAAAATCAAAGATGTTGTCGAAATTAAAATTCAGATGTTAAGAAGTAACTAAAAACCATTTTTCGGCACACAATTTAAGGGATTTAGGTATGATCACGCACAGTTGAAGGTATTTTGTAGATGGGTAATGTTAAGAAACTAAATTTGTAGATAAAATTTGTAAATTAAATGATGTGTCACCAATAGAAATGAACACATTTATCAACGTTTAAGTAATAATTCAATTATTAACTTTCATATCATTTAGTTTACAAAATTAGTTTATGAATTTAGTCTCTCTGACATATCCTTTGTTTATATATAGACACACAAACACACTAGCTGGCAATCTCCACACATTATATGCATGTGCTTGTATGAAAAATAAAAGTATGGTTGAGTGAGGGACATCTAAATTTAAAAAAAAAAAAAAAATATATATATATATATATATATAGAGAGAGAGAGAGAGAGAGAGTAAGGACGAAATGGATTCCAGTTTCCCTCTTAAATTTACAAAGATTAAAATTTACATGAAAAGTATAAAATAATAATAAAAAAAAAATCTTCCACAACATACTCCCACTTCTCTCTCTGTGTTATGTCATAGATGTATTAGTTACACCTTACTTTCATGACCGAAAAACCGAATTTAAGGTAACATAAAGGGCACCACACAAAAAAGAAAACGATCTGGTTAAAGTAACTTTGAAAAGAACAATTAATCACGTACCAAAAGATAGAGCTTGTCAAAGCCGTCATAACTGACCACCGGCATGCTCAAATCTAAAGGAAAACAAGGAAAGACTTTATCCAAGTCAACTTCATCCCTTCCCTCACATATAATAACCCCCAACACCCTTTCTCTCCCGTCGTCCATTACCTAAAAGCCAACTACCTTCCTAATTCCTTAACTATCATCTCGCTCCATCCAATCATATGGGCAATGCAGTTTCTCCCTGCTTTCAGCAAAAAACAAACTCAGTTGTGAAAGTAATATTTTCAGAAGGCAGCACCACAAGATTCCTCAAAGGAAAACACATCGCTGGAGAGATCATGTTCGAGTTCCCTGACCAAATGGTTTGCCACGCAGACTCTTTCTTCATCGGCCGCCCGGTTCCTGCCTTAGCCATCAACGACGAGCTCATGCTTGGCCAGACCTATTTCGTTCTTCCGATTGATCGTTTCGCATGCAGCGTCCTCTCAGCCTCGACCCTCGCCGCCCTAGGCTCATCGTCGAGGCCCAACAAGAAGGCAGCTCCTATCAATTTCGGGGAGTGCCCGTTTGAGTATATAAAGGGTTCAAACGGAAAGGTCTTGATCAAGGTGGTGCCAGAGTTCATAGCAAGGCTAATTGCAAGAAGTCACAAGGAAATTGATGGGTCGTCTGAGGCTATAAGTTCTGTAAATACTACTTTTCTTTGTAGCACACCTGAGCTGCAAAAGCACTATGAACAACTCGTTGTGTCTAAAGAGCAATTATGGTCGCCTAAGCTTGAAACCATTTCTGAGTATAAGGTTAGGTTTTCACCATGCAAATATATAGGGCTGGAGTGGAAAGAAAAAGAGCAGGAAGTCATCTAGTTAATTTCCTTTTTGTTTTTATACAATTTAATTGAATTTTGTAACAAGGGAAAAGTTAATTTGTAAATTTACTATACTAGTAGCTAATTAAGGGCATTAGAAGAAAGAAAGATTTGCTAATTGTACGTGTTGTTTTCTTGATTATTATCTATATGTATTTGTGACTAGTACAAAATTTAATTTTTGTTAAAGTAAAATAGTAAAATAGTTTTTTCTTTTTATTATAAGAGATATTCGTAGTCTAAGCTACAATAAAATAAAATATAAAAAAAAAAAAAAGGAGTTTGAATCCGGGATAAAGTAGCTTCAAGAGAAAGGCTAATCCACAGGACAATCCACCACTTGCTTCTTTTTCTATTAGAGCATTGCCCTTTTAGTTGCATAAATCTTTGTTCAAATTGGTTCATCTTTATATTTGGTCATGTACTAGTCGCTATATAACTTTATTGTAATTGTGGAAACTAAATTTCATCGGTTTCAAATGAGATGTCAAGTGTGTATTAAAGCAGATCTAGTGAACCTGGATTCGAAAAAGAGTACTTGGATTCTCAAAATAACTAAAAAGTGTATCATGCCCGAATCTAATTGGGATTAGAATTTCGCCAACACTCAAGCCTTGCATGCGTGTGTTGAGTATTAACTATAAGAGGGGATGTCTCCTCGTAAATCACGCTTAGTAGAGGTGACACCTCTGCAAAAGTTGGCGTGTGAATCCTTCATGTGATGGGCTCGGGAGCATTTTTGCTCACCACCATTTCGTGTGGTGTATGCTCACCATCCTAGTTATCACCGTTAGATGAATTTGAATTTCGAGATTCGTGTAGTGGATAAGCACAAATCTCAATATTCAAACTCATCTAACAGTGATAAATAGGGTGGTGAGCATACACCACACTAAATGATGGTGAGCAAAAATGATACGCTAGGCCACCCTCATTCAGCAGAATTGGTGGGCTATACAAATTGTACATATTGTTTTCTTTCTTTCTCTCTATATGTATTCGTGAGCAGAACAAAATTTAGTTGTTATCAAAGTAAAATTGCTTATATTCTTTTTATTACTAGTAATATTTTTATTCTAAGCTCGACTGAGAGAATGGAAAATTGTAATACAATAGTTTAAAGTGAAAGGCGAATCCACCAGAGCAGTTCGTCATTCGCTCCTTTTGTATTAGAATTAAAATTTATTATTTCAGTTGCATAATATATTTTTTTAACTAGTTCATCCCTATATTTGGTCATGCATCCATATCAAAGTTTATTGTAATTTGTATAGTCCAACTTTAGAATGAACATTTGTCTATATATCTCGATTCATATATAATGTGATTATATTATATTATCGTCAATAAAAATTATTAATATGTTGTCGATACATTTTCGACCATATTAACATATTAACATAGTAACAATGCATTTCCGTCCTTTATGCATAAAGAATTTTGAAGTAGTTTGTATTTTTATATGTCTTAGGAAAGAGTATAAAGCTTTTCATATGCATATGAATGAATATATACTGTACGATACCGTTAAAAAGGGTCTGCTAGGTATCCCATGAGAATAGAAAAGTAAAATAAAATATGCATGTGAGTTTAAGATAAAAGAATATGGGTTGGACTTCTTGTCCACCAAAACCCATTATACGAATACCTTCGGGGTCAAGCCAAATTAGCTTGAGTGGCCGCAAGGCAAGTGAGATGAATCCTGATTCGACGTACCTAACCCAAACCGCCAAATCTAGTTGGATTTGGTATTCAATTCATCGTACAGATTGAGGAGGCAATAAAGCTCTTTGACCCTAGATTCTCTCATAGTTTTAGGTTATACCTAAACTTGTTTTACAACTTATCAACACACGGCATGCAACAGTCTCCTAAGCCTGAGCACATCGGTTTCAACTTGATACAGATTTCTGACTTGACAGTCAGAAATGTTCATTGGTCAGCAGTTATTTTGCCCTCAAGGTTTGTTCCTCTTGTAATCGTATATCTAAAGAGACAAAAATAATAATGATTTTCATTCAAATCAACCATATTTATGGATTTCTTGCAGTGGTGGTTTTGGTGGGGCGCCCGGAAGGTGGGGAGGGTGATGGAAGAGAAGTGTCCAGCCGCACAGAGCTCAAATATATCATCCGAAAATATTTACATAGTTAAACGCGAAAAAAGTTTCAAGTGGGACCTACAACTACCTATTTTTCAACTTTCCCATTTTTTTGGTAAAAACAAAAAGCTTTTCTAGTTTTCTGATTTTTTTAGCAACTTAATAATACTTTAGTGGCCCTTACAATTTAATTTAATGTTGTACTTTTTGAAGGTTTTGTTATTTGGTTTCTTAAGATTGAACTAATTGTTGTTTATTTAGTAATGGTTATTTTTGTAACTTTCTTTACTTATTATGTAAAGATATAATTAGCGTGAGTTCTAAAGTTTGTTTCAATTTTAGTTATTGCTTTCTAGTATTAATATATTGAATTTTTTAAATACTATCTTAAGAAGGCCTTTTTTATAAATTAGCTTTTTAGCCAAAGTAGTCCTTGAGATTGGCCAAACTCCTCAGTTTTGTCCCTAATACCAATATAGTCTTTTCCTTAGAAATCTTAAATTTTTTGTTAGTGTGTTGATGTGGCATTCCACATGGATTACACACAAATAATTAATTTATTAATTCTAGAATATATAAAAAAATGAAAATGAGATAAAAAAACAAAATGAAAAAGAGAAAAACGGAAAATAAAGGCTTGTCTCTCAGTCTCTCAGCCTATCAGACAATGTCGTCCAGCCGTCATCTTCAGCATTGTTCCCATTCGTCATCTCCTCCATTCGTACCTTTCCACTTGCTGCACCTACCTACCCAAAACCTAGCCATCGACCAATCCCTCCATGCTATCTAACGCATCCATTTCGACCCAAACCCTAAGAGCAACTCCAGCGTAGGCAGCCTGAGGGAGAGTGGAGGCCCAAGCTCCGGGTCTGTGAGGAATTGCCAGCCCGAGAGCTCGAGTGGATGTGATGTCAGGGCTGACGTCATCCTGGCATCAGCCCAACTTTATATTTTTTCTGTCAAGCGCGTGCGACTCACTCGCGCTTGGGGGTGCGTGAGCAATAACTTTTCAGAGTATGGGGCCAGTGTCACATTCTGCCGAGGTAACTGTTGGGAAGCCACATGGCTTCCCACAGTCCATTCGATCTCCCTTTCTCTCTAAGAGGCCGGCCCCTTTGGAGGAGATTAGATAGCAATCTCTCATCCTCCAAGGTCACTCATCTCTTCTTCAAGTCCCTCCTTGGTGTGGAAAAAATTAGAGGTTCTCAATTTTGGGAACTTGGAGAATCCTTTCTACCATCCTTCTCCAAGAAATCGATGGAACTAAGAAGCAAGGAATGAAGGCTCTCTCCTTGGGTGATTAGCCTTTGCTTATGCAAAGAGGAATCAACAAAAGTATAAAATCTCTCAACTTACTTTGTTCTTGAGTTGAGTCTTGGTTCACCTTTCTAGGCTTTGAATTTCATGGGTAATGTTTTGTTTTTGAGTGCATACAAGTATGGTTCCGCCTTTAAATGTTAATTGCATGCAATAGATGTTGCTCAAATGAGCATGTTTTTCACAAATTTTCCTTCAGCCTAGGCGCCGCCTAGCCTCTTAGGCGCTAGGCCCCTACCCGCCGCCCGACTAACGCCTAACGTTTTTTAGAACCTTGCTTGTGCATAGTGTAAAACATGGAGAACTCCTAGATACCCAGCTCTGCCCCATACCACTTGTTCAGGCACTCAAAGCAGAAGAGTATACAAAATGCAGTGGGGGTCAAGTTACATAGAGCAACACCAAAGCAATTCAACAATTGTTTTCGGAAAGGGGAATAAGGAATGAGGAAACCTCAAACCCAAATCTGAATACCAATGGTGGATTCTAGTACAAGGATGTTTGGGATCTGAAGGTTGTGGCAAGGGATTTTGGACATTATGGCCCCTCTCCCATGTGATGGTGCAACCGTTTAGAAGATGCCAACAGAGATTAGCAAAAACTTTTGCTTCTTCTTCACTTTGCACCCTCACCATTAGAGGTTTGAACTGAGAATCATAGTTAGCAGCAGGATGAGGAAGCTCGATTAAAGGCGCGGCCATTGGTTTGGGTGAAGGAATTTGAAGGAATTAAACAAAGAGGTGAAAGGTTGATTTGAAAAAGCTGTTACCATTGGAGGCCACGTGGCACCTTCATGTCCGTTGGATTTCAACAGTTACATTTTGTGGACCGTTGGATTTCCAACAGTAAAAACAAAATTCAAACCTTCTTTAATTTCAGCCGTTGAATTTGAGATCAACGGTCCACATTATTCACCTTTATAAATTTTTTTTAAAAAGCACAGTAAAAAATTCTGAAATTTTATTGTTGTGCCACGTGGCACAATTTGGAGGGTTAGATTTCAAATTTTTTTAAATCCAACGACAAAAATTAATTATGTGAATAAAAGATTAAAAAATAATAATAAAAATTTTGAAAAATTAAAAAAAAATTGATTTTACTTTTCTATAAATATCTTCTCATTATCTTCTACCTTACACCATAATTTCATATTTTCTCAAATACTTTCAACCACATTCCTATCTTTCTCTCAAAGTTTCAATCCAATTGTTTTTCAACAAAATGACTAATGATGCAAGTACGAATTAGACGCTTATTAAAGATGTTACGTTGTGTTCTAGTTAGGTTGAAGTTACTCGTGATCTGATTACGGGTAATGAGATGCAGTTGCGAGAAATGTGAAGTCTTATTCATACCAATTATCTTGAGAAAATTGGTGGGAAAGGAACCAAATAATCGATGTCCAGTTGTTGGAGAATACTCAGACAATCATTTAGTATGTGGAGAGACGCCTTGGCACAAGCTAATAGTAATCTTCGAAGTGGGGAAAATTTAGTTGATCAGGTAAAAATATATTATTTATTTGTTTGTACCATACCTAAATTTACATTAGCTACTTTGATTACAATTATTTCTTCTCTAGCATTGTGTAGACACTTCAAGCACAAGCTTGGTATAATGCCAAAACCAAAAACAAATCATTCAACCGGTGGGAATGTTGGAATATTGTCAAAAATTGTCCTAAATTTAAAGTTATGCCTGTCGGTCCAGAAGTTGTTATAAACAGCACCCCTCTACATTCTACGCCCGATCATGCCTCGCATGTTCATGAAGATGACGCGGAAGAAGTGCAGGAAACGCCTTCTGCACAAGCGTCGGGGTTGACCTGTTATCCAATTAGGCCTCAAGGTAAGAAGGCTTCAAAGAGAAAAGGGAGTGCTTCCAAGAATGATTATGCAAAATATATGGAAGAACTTGCTCACCAAGGTGAATTGACTTTGGCGAGGGAAATGGTTAAATTTGAGGCTGATAACACTAGAAAGGAGGCAAAAGTTGCAGCTATCGAGAGACTATTTCAAGCTAATGAGAGAGAAATAGAACTATTTAGGCAAGAAAGGGAAGAGATTAAAGAAGAAAGAAATGCTCAACAAGATCGTGACATTATGAAGGAGCATTTAGAGGGGAAGTCATCGAATTCTAAATATTTTTGGAATTCGGAGAAAGCGAACGTGGTGCGAAAAAAGTGCAAGGGAAGCGAAAGCAAGAAGAGATAGCCCTAGCACCACAAGAGGAGATGATCCTAGCATCACAAATTGGTTAGGTGATGATTTTCCATTCACGAGGGACTAGGGAATTTATTTTTAATCGGAGCCTATAATTTTCCAATCACTTTGGATTGTAATTTCTTATTTATTGAATAGAGGACGTTATGTTGTTTCCAATTTATTGAATTTAGTACTTTATTTAAACTAAGAGTATATTTATTTGATTTGGTAATTTATTTAAACTAAGAGAATCTTTATTCAAAGGACATAAACACACCAAATAAAATTACATAAACATACCAAATAAAAATAAACACACTAAATGAACTTAAGTTTCTTGAGCTTCTTTCAATTCCCACTGTTGCTTTATCAAGTCAATTTGCCTTTCATTGTGCATATATGGGTCTTGAAGTACAGTATATCGTTGAATGAGCCTTTCATTGTAACGTGCATCCCTTTGTAATGGCTCGTGTCGCACGGGTTCTTCGGTGGAGTCATGAGCACAATATATTTGTGTTTTGGAATTGTTCATCTTGTCTAGCTCATATTCATCAACGACATCATAATCGTACTCATCTTCCACAATCATGTTGTGAAGAATGATGTACGTCATCATGATGGACCGAAGCGATTCTAAATCAAACATTCTGGCAGCACCCTTGACAATCGCCCAACGAGCTTGGAGGATACCAAAACAACGCTCCACATCATTCCTACGTCCCTCTTGACAGCTTGCAAAGTGTTTTGACAAAAGATGACCACCTTAGGTAAATGTCGTCTGCTAGGTAGTATGGCCCGTGGTACTTACGTCTGTTGACCCAGTACGTGACTCTTGGTGTTTTTTCTTGCAGGACATCGTTGAACATTAGGGATTGGGGAAGGACATTGAGGTCATCTTAAGCCCCCAGAACATTGAAAAAAACATGCCAAGTCCATGTATCAAATGATGCCACCGCCTCCAAAATTATACTTTTTGCTCATTTTCTGTCCCCATAAGCTCCTTGCCATGCACTTGGACAATCTTTCTAGGTTCAGTGCATACAATCGATACTTCCAATCATCCTAGGAAAACCTCGCATCTTAGCATTCTTCAGAAGCCTTTGCAAGTCCATCTCAATAGGTCTCTGAAGGTACTCTACGGTGTAGATAGATTCGATTGCATAGCAAAACCTCATCAGGGACTCAAGAATGGTTGATTTCCCCATCCTCGCTCACTCATCCACTTGGTATGCAGATGCTTCATATGCAAGCATCCGCAAGGCAGCAATAATTTTTTGCTCAGGAAGAAGACCCATAACACCAAAAGCATCATTTTTTTGCACAAAGTAAGAATCATGATTGCAAACAGCAATCATAATTTTGTTGAACAAATGTCATTCCATTATAAAACGACGTCTAAAGTACATATCAAGGAATGAACTGTTACGAAGAAAATAATCGTCCAAGAGATCCGTATCTCGTCGTTGCATGCTTCTATTAAGGTTTGCATAACGGCTGGGCCTAGAGATCTAAGCCACAACTTGGATGATTCGATGAGACTGTGAGGCTCTTTGGCTTCTTATTTCGTTGTCTCTCCTTCTACGATCCTCTTCCTCTTCCATCTCATTTTGGGCCACATGGAGATTGAACATTTCTTCCCCTTGCTTAAATAATTCTTTCTCTTGCTCCTCGATTTCCCATAACATCCTTGAAGAAGAAGACATTGTAAGAAGGAAGCAGAAACTATGAATAATGATAGAGATTTTGATTTTGGTGTGTGATTTCTTAAGATGGATGGTGGGTTATATGGAGGAAAAAGAAAGGATTATGTTGTAGATAATGCTATGTGACATGTCGTTATTCGTGAAAAATCTAATCGAAATCTATCCTCAAAGATTGTAAACAAATTGTGACACGTGACGTGACGTGATTGGTTAAAAATCTTATTAGAAATCTATCATCAACGATTCTAAAAAAGTAACGACACGTGGCACGACATTGGATAAATATCTTATCAAAATCTATCACAAAAAATTATCTTATCAGATAATGACACATGATATAACGAGAACGATTAAAAATCTTAGCCAAAATTACAAATAAAATTATTTTGTATTATTTTTATAAAATAAAAAAAATATTAATATTTTATTTTCTATTGCCATGACCAGGAGATGCAAAAGCCAATTACAGGCTCTTCAATAGTGACTCCCTAGGGAGCTTTGCAACGCTGGAGATGTTCTTAACTGTGGTTAGTGTTGCTGGAGCGAGTGGAAGAGTTGTAGTGGAGGCACTTTTAGGGTTTTCGGAAGAATCAAGAGATTATGAGGACCTGGGCATATCAACGCTGCCGTCATACAGCTACAAATAGGTGCGTTGGTTGAGCTGGGACGAGTGGCTTGAATCTCTCTTTTCGAATTCACCTGATTCTGGCCTCCGCTTTGAGAAGAGTAAGAGAATCCAACTTCATATTTTGCGATAATTTTGAAAACAATGGACATACTCTTGTTTTTATTTTTATTTTTTCAAGTGGGTTTTGCTTTTAATTGAGTTTTGTGGAGGTTTCTGGCAATTTCATATATGGTCTTCATCTTTGAATTGTTGTTAACCGATATCATCATGGAGAAGCAGAGGATGTCTTCCTGTTGCGGTTGAAGTTACCGAAACGATTGTTGAAATTCAGCAAAAAGATCCTCAGTTTAGGTACGTTTTTCACCCAACTCCACTCCTCCGAGCCTTTTCAGATCAACTTCTTATGTCTTTTTTTTCCCGACGCGGGCGGGGGATAATGTGTTTGTTCTACTTTGCTAATTCCATGTATGCATTTTGTGAACTATAGATTGGACATGATTTAGATAATTGTAAACGAATCAATCAAGTGATGCTTCACTTTCAGAGGAAATGTTGGCCATGTTATATTGTATGGCAATCATAAGGTGAGCTTTCTTTATTGTTTTGTTCTTACATCTCTGTTCTTTTCTTTACTACCTTATCGTCATGTGTTCTCTATCTCTCTCCCCCCCCCCCCCCCCCCCCCCCAAAAAAAAAAAATATTGTAGTATGTAAAAGGAAACCATTTACTAAAATTTGGTAGTTCTCAGAAAGAACTCCAACCTTTTGAAACTCCATATATAGCAGATGTATATGTTCATTGTACAAATCATTTGGAAGTCTTTAAGCATCCAAAGTTGTTGTCAGGAGTTCTTTTGATATAGCGCTTATTATTTCCACTTTTTTGCATGAGGTCCAATATCCTAGTGGATAGGCCGATAGGGTGTTGGGTTTTAACCATGCGTCCTGAGTTCAAAACTCTCCCCTCCCCTAGTTTAATATAATAGTTTCAAACACTCCCCACTCCCCTTAATAATAGTAAATTTTATTTATTACATCTTCAATTTAAGATTTCCTTTAGAAGGGGTTCTTGTAAGTGTAACATGAAGAGTTTTTGTAAGCTCTATGTCCCATCACATATGTGATAATAGTTGTATAACAATATAGTTTTGAAGGTTTTTCATGGTTAGGCATACAACAGAGATATTTGTAATTGATTGGCCTTCCATGAATTTGTGTTCATATAAAAATATATGTAATTCACTCAAATTCGTTGGGGATTATTATTTAAGCTCATATTTATTTTTTGCCCTTTTCAATTTTGTCGCAGGTAGTGCGACATGAATAAGTTAGCTTCACACTAGTGGTCATGTTTCTGAAGGCTTTTGAATGGTGTTGCCAAGAAGACATGGAAGAAAACAGAGGTTTAAATTGTTGTGGTTGCTGATGCAATTAGCATTCCACGTCCACTGATTGATATTCATCATGGTGAGAAACTCAACATTTCATTTGTACATTTTTCTTTTGTTCGTTGGTTAAGCCTTTAGGCTTTGGGTATTTAAGTGATTTTTTTTTAATACTTGTGATACTGCATGTTGATATTTCTTTTTTCTTTTGCTTTGTATTGAATTCTTTTTTAGAGGGATCTCACCGTGATCTTCCCACACTTGAGGTTCTTCATGGTGCATCAGTTAAGGTACAGATCACGCTTGGTATTTCAAAGTTTTGTTTCTTCAGATTCTTCTGATGTTTACTCTTAATGTTTAGATTTTATGTTTGATGCATCTAGTTTATTTGGTGATGAATAATCGTAATAAAATTCCTACTAAGACATTGTTCGGTGTCTGAGAAAACTACAAAATAGTTGAGAAGATTTCTGAATTCTATTAAGCTGTGAAAATGAGCTTTGTTTTACCATTCAACTTTAATAATAATTTACAGAAGATAAGGATGCATTTTCACTTAATTGACTTGTGACAAATTCCAACTCACGAGTCCCTTGTGTTATGAAGACAATGAAAAAAATTTAGTATCAACAATCAATGTGAATGGATTTTCTCGTTTGTTTCATGTCAACAATACGGAAAAAGTTTTTCTATTTTTGTTTAAAAAAAAAAAAAACAGTTTATGGAAGGTTACATGTTGTTGTCGTCATTCCCTTCCTTCCCATCTCTAAAAGATAAAAAGCCCTGGTTTAGGTCTGACAATTTAGGCTAAACACCACATCAAAATATGCATATAAACATTGGAACCTCTATTTTCCGATGAGAGAAGATTTTTGTTGTGTCAAATTTCAATTTTTCTATAGGTGGCAGATATAGTAATTGGCTTTATGGACGTAATAAGTTTTTGTCACTAATGACTGGCGATATCCTTTCATAGAAATCTGGACGTTAGATTGAGCCCTAACTTTAGTAATTTATTGGAAGGTGGCAAAGTTTTTGGTGTACACTTGCATTTTGTTTGGTTTCCCTGTGGAAGAAGAAGGATAAGAAAATTAAGTATTTGAATTCCACCACATACCGACATTTCGTTCTAACGTAAGAATGAAAAAGAAAGAACAAAAGAGAAAAGCAAGTCTAAATTTCTTCTCGAACTTTATTTTTTGAAAATGGGTGAGATTTTGAGAGAGAGTTTACCAAATTACTTTTCTTTTTTCATGTAAGTTCCGGCCGCTTTCTTCGTAAATAAATTCTTATCATCTCTCTCTATTATCTGTAGTGTTAGTTGAAGCAAACATGGTTTAAAGAACAGTATTGAATGGAATCTGGCTGTAGTTTGGAAGTAATAAGGAACCGGAGTTACTTCTGGCTCTTCCGAACGCAGTCCTTGATATGATTGAGACTCATGAAGGAGTGATGTATGAGAAGGGTAATCACATGACCTTAATTTCTTTGTATTTGTTTATTCCATATTCAGATTGACTGGTAAACTTATGCTGAGGTTCTGCATAGAATCTTATGATATTTACATGATACAGTTTGAATGCTGATATATATTTCCTCTTTCTTCCTGTCATCAAATTACATACTTCAACCTTTGTATTACATTTGGTAGCTACTAAACAGGAATGTACAAAATACTATGTTTCCCTAAAGCATGTTCATTGTTCATGGCAGCTAGCCAGATGCAGTTTTAGGTGGATGGTGTGTATTTAGTTTCGGAGTCTAATTTCAGAGTGCACACACCTGCTTTTAATTTGTGCTGAATTATGCATTTGATACTCTCAGTTCCTAGCATGAATTCAACGTCGTGTAAAGCTGGATATACAAAGTCTTCTGCTTCACCAAAATTGAGCGTCTGATGGATTTCTCAAGTGCTCAAAACTTGAAAGTATCCAAATGTTCTTATCCTGGTTGCCAGGGCAGAGGTTGAACCCCTCTCATCTCTGTTCACACGGCTTGTCGGAAATTTCAAAGAATTAGAACCTCGTCATGAAAAAGATTTTGAAGCGGAACTAAAAGTTTCTTGAGCAGAAAAAAAACCATCTCCAAAGCAATTCTGGTTGAGCTCCTATGCAAATGGCTTGTTGTATCAGCTTTTGCTAATAACAGGCTCACGGATTCTCTCCTCCATCTTGCACAGCTGACAAAGGACTGCTTTTGAGTTTCATCACATTCGGATACTGCAGAAGATGTTCTTCTAGTGTTCTTCAAAATACAAATAATCTATATATAAAGCAAGATGAATCATAAGTCAAGCGGCAAAAAAGCTACAACTGATTAATGTCGCAAAATGAAGAGCAAGGAATTGAAGAAGACAGATGCTGATGTCGAAAATACGAACAAATGGGTTCTCGCCAAATCATGGAACCGGCGTCCGATTGGAATGTTGCCTCGAGCTGTTGGGTTTTCTGGCGGGATGTCAATAATGTCGCAGAAAAGGTTCCTGGATTACTAGGAAGAGAAGAGAAGTGGGAACTAAAACAATGTAGTGCCATGAGACCTATAAAACTCAATTTTGGTCAAAATAATATATGCAAGCAGTCGAGAGCAAGTAATGTGTCTTATATTTCAATACACCGAAACATGGTAGAACTTTCTCACCTTTCAATGTAACACTTCGGGTCCGTTGTCAATGTCCATTCAAATCTACAGCAGTGCAATGATATGGTAGAGAAGGTACCGCAGGGGCGACCTGAGAACACATCAAGCGCAATACATAAATGCTACATGTGATCTCAGGTCACTCCTGTGGAACCCCTCTACCGCTTTGGCTTATCTCTGTACAACTTCCTTGCCTTAGAATGGTAATATATAGCACAACTTAGAACTTAGTTGTGTACTATTTTCACTCCATTGTACTACATGTTTCTTTCTAGTACAAATCTTCTTGTTTGACCATATACACGTTTATTTATTATATATTGGATTTAAATGTACTACAATGTCAATGTGGTACAGTTTGATTTTTCGAAATTGCTTCGTACAATTGCAGCTTTGTACTTTACAAGCTTTGGAGGACCTTGCTGATTTGCAGACATCTATCTAAATCTTATCCATTCTGATTGTTCAAAATTGCTCTAGTAATCAAACGGACAAGATTTGTCCTTCTGATTTTCAAAATCCCTACTTTTATATATGAATTTTGTAATAATTCACATTCATAACACCAGTCCCAAATACAAATGAGTGTCTTTATTAACTAAAAATGTGGATTATGCGCATGAGTTACCTTGTTTGGACTATAATTTGTAATTCATACGAGTTCTACAACAAAGGTATATGTGCGTTAAAACTTCGGTTTTGGGGTTTAGTGTTCACTGAATTTATGAATTCGCATAGACCCCTATTATGTTTCAAATATAATGTGTCACAAGCCGGATGCATCCGTATTCGACCATCAACTTGTACGGGGTGCAAATTATGCTTGGTGCCTGGATAGATCCATCATATTAAGACGAGTGTTATATGTGTCCTTTTACATACCATCAATGTCCATCAATGTATGTTTCCACAACTTTCTCACACACATTTTTTTTTATTGTTTCAAAATTGTGACGTAATTTTTGTTGGTGTGAGTCAATATACTTAGAATAGGGATTTAATATATGTTGGCAAGAGTCAATGTACTGCAAGAATTCAATGCATATTGGCATGAGTCAATATATCTAGAATAGGAATTCAGTGTTCCCAGAATATGGATTCCATATCCTAGACATCCTTGTACTTTTATATATGTATATTGTCCTCCTATTGAGAGAAATAAAAGACGAAAAATATTCAAAATCCTAAATCAACTTTTATCTTGGCGTCAGTGCAGGTTTCGACTGATCTGTTCCTTAATCCTAAACTCAATGTCGTTGTGCAAATTACAGCTAACCAAACCCTTTCTAGCTAGTTTTGAAACCTAAAACCAACCCACACAAACTCACGCTGCCTTGTGTTCTCTAGGCAGTGCCAATCCAAATCAAAAAATACAAACGAGTCACGCCGCCTTTGATATTGATATGAGCAATCATAAAATTAACTTAGAGTTAATTGCGTTCATTAAGCAAACTTTTGAATATACTCATGTGAATAAATCAAGAGAGCTTCAAAATCACGGTGGGACCTTTGCCCTTCCCTTCTAGTGACCTTAAGGTGGACTATAGACATCCCTTAAGGGTAGGTAATGGAAAGAGAGAGAAAGGCAACATATATAGTATAAGGTGAAACACCTAAATGCTCTCAAAGGATGAGAAACAAATTTATATTGCCTAACCCACTATAGAGTTCAAGTTAGTCATAGATTTAGAGGGTAGATGGCGTACTTGAAGTTCAAACATGAGGTTTTGAGGATCTTGCAAAGACTAGATAGCCTAAGAGATGGGGAGCTGTACTTGAATGCAGAAAATAACTGCCCTAGTCCATGCAATTAGTCTCTAATATGGGAAGATCCAAACATATGCTTGCTCCTATCAGAAGTGCACAAAAAAGGTGCAGTCTAGAGACGCATCTTGAGCAACATACATGGTTATATCCACGAGTTGCTCTTGACATGATTATTGTTTGGTACCATATTTCATACATGTAAGTGAAATGATGCAGACACATCTTCATTATGTGTCGCTGGGCTTTGAATTGGTTCTTTCACCCGAAATTTCACCTTGGCGCTTTGAGATAGTGAGCAAGTTGAGAGATTCATGTCTTCAATGTATAGAGTGCATCCAGACATGTCCTGGGCGTAGAGAATGCATCCGGACGCATGCATTACTTGGCACAGCAAAGAATGCCATATTATCTGATATGTCATTTTAGAGAGAGAACTAAGATGTGACCTTATTATTATGGAGAAAGTCGATCTTGGAGTAATTTATGTATGTGTTTCCATTACTCCAAGTAGCCCGATTACAGTTGAATGTGAGTTGTCAGGTGGGCGCTGAAAGGGCATCTGTACTGAGAGATTCAGGTCAGGTATTGGCATAGGGATTGTAATAAGATTCGTATGATGATTCAGACAACTATATGTGCTTAAGTCGACCAAAATAGTGGGTGTAATGAATGAATCCCTTCTTCATTACTATGTGAGCCACTGGATTTTAATCCAATATGTGTACCATTTGGATTCAAGACAATGTCAAAAAGAGGATACTTGACTATTTCTACTTTGGCATACTCATATAAGGCGATCAACAATCATTGCTGCATGTTTGAGAAAGCAGTCAAGTCTAGTTGGACTGACATGAATGCTTAGAGAAGACAATTTGTCATTACACCACGTTTAATATGGCTTATTAGCTGGTCAGCGTTCATGTAAAAGATGAGAATAGTTTATTGATTTTCGTTCGTATGTTGTATATGGTTTCACTAGGTCGCGCCACAATACGCCCTTGTGAATATGAGAACGAGAGGATGATGATAGTGTTGTGAATGTGAGGACACCACTCCTATTTGGGTGAGAGATGATAATTTTATAGAAAAACTAATGAAAATTGTTTGAAAACTTTGAATTTTAACGATAAGGACAAAAATAAAGGGTAAAATGAATAGTACCAGGATTGACTTTTTAGTGTAAAAATATAGTTTTTCCTTAAAATAAACTGTACCGGGAGTTTTTCGTTAAAAGTTTCCTAATTTTATTGGACTTAATAAAACAATATAATCCACCCAAATAAGATATGGATTCAAAAAATATCTATTTGGTTAAATCTTTATTTAACAATGAAGGGATATGGAATATTCTTTGCATAGTGGACTTGGCTTAAGCTTCCTTTAGCTGGGCAAGATGCATCGGAATACAAAAACGGTAGCGTTCGTGCTGGCAAACAAAGAAGACTCGTAAGAACGAGACGTTGTTACAAAATTCATCAATCTCGTTAGGTAAAAACCTAAACAATTTTGTTATTATTTGCATAAATTTCTTCCAGAAACAATGGAAAAACGATGAGGAATTTAGATTGCTTGATTTGTTTTGTAAATTTTTTATTATATGGATTTAATTGATTGCTACTTTTTGTTGGTTAGATTGATCTTATGTAATTGTTCAATTAATACCAATACTAATGCAATCAGTTGCTGAGGACCATAAGAAGATATAAAGCGTTAGAACATCTCTAAAGGAAATGTCAAAATGTCCACATAAGCTATAATAATAAAAAAAAAAAAAATCACACTAATGTGCTCCAACTGAAATGTTAAATTTGACAGCAACTTCAAAATTAATTATTAATTTTTTATTGGTTTAATCATCATTGCAATTAATGTTGTTGTTGACCTGTTTCCCTTTTGTTCAATTAAGGTAAGTGAACGGTTCTCTCTTGTTAAAAAGAAATGGTGAACGGTCTGGATTTCATAATTATTAAATGCCTTTTATTAAGTTTTTATTAATTTAATAATTTATTTTATAATATAATAAAATAATAATTTAATTTGACATATCGGGTGGACAATAAAACTTTAAAAGATGTCAAAATCCCACATAGGTTGTCAAATTTAAATTTTATGTTCAAAATTTGACATTTCCTTTGAATATGTTCTTAGAGATTATTTATTTGACATGCCTGTGACTGACTCTTTGCTGAGGATACTTTGTTCTCACTTCGATCAGTTTCAGTACTATTATAACTTATTTGTTCAGTCCTTGTATATATTTTAATTTTTATAGATTCAATTCTCACCCCCGCTTCATGGACAATGTTTATTCATATTCAAAAACAACATTTTTTTAGGTTTAAAAAAACCAAACTGAACCGGAAAAATCAAACCAAAATTAAATCGGACATAAGAAACCAAACTGAACCAAGCAATATTTTTAGTTCAGTTTTCGATTTTGGCGAAAAACCGGACTATTGAAACTAAACCATCCTTACCAAAAACAACATTTCCCTTCCAATAGTTTTGGCTTAAAAATTTAGATTATTAAAAAATGAATTTAGGTTAAATATTTTTTTTAGTAATTTTCTTTAAAAAAAATTTATGTAGATTATCATAATTTATTTTATAAACATTTTAACCTAAAAATATTTAGATTGATAAATAATGGATTTGCTCCTAATGATCGAATTATATCCAATGTTGTTTCTGTGAACACGAAATTTTCCTGAAACGAAAGAGACAAGAACAACGTGTACAAAGAAATATTTTGGTGTTAATGGATTTGTAGGGTTACGATCTCTTTTAACTTGATCCTCTGATTCGATCTCCGTAAGGTGTTGATTTATGAATGTTGTTGATCCAAGGGCCGTTGAGGCTTAATTTTGGATGAACGGTTGGGAGCTTCTTCAAGGGCCGTCGGGGCTTGATCTTGAAGAAATGCTGTGTAGATTTGTTGATATTGTTGATCCAAAGGGCCGTCGGGGCTTGATCTTAGGATGAACAGTTGTGTGGATTTGTTGATGTTGTTGATCCAAATGGCCGTTGGGGCTTGATCTTAAGATGAACGGATGTGTGGACGATGAACACTTTCTTCAAGGGCCATCGAGACTTGATCTTGAATTGGTGGAAGTTCTTCAAGGGCCGTTGGGGCTTGATCTTGAAGGAGGATTTGATGAAGAACGAAGAGGGCTTTCTTGATCCTTCGGGATTTGCTTGAGAGCTTTAGAGTTTCAAAGCTTCAAAGATTTGGGGGATTCTCTTCCAATTTGGGAGTAGAGAAATGTATTTGTGAACTGGTTCATGATACCTTGATGTAGAAGCCTATTTATAGGCTTTGAGAATGAATCACCACCACAAAATATTTTTTTCTTTTCCAAGCACCATTGCCTAATTTCCCACTTAATACAATTTTAAACTTGAAGTGGTAATTTTATGGCCTAATTTTCCACTTAATATCATTTTAAACTTGATATGTGCATGCTTTGTCATTGCCCAAAATGAGAAGAAAACCTTGTTTTGATCTTCAATGGATTGAAATGTGCTTGCCTTGTCATTGCCCAAAATGAGAAGAAAAACTTGTGTAATCCTCCAAGGGTATTTCTTCTTATTTTGTTGAGTCACACACCATGTGTACAATTTGTATGACACGTGGCATATGCCATGTATGCTCTGACACGTCAAAATTTTAATGCGTTGGTGAACATTTATTTCACCGCAATTTCGATGTCTACAGTTTCGACTTTTCCAATCATTTTAGATACAATTCTTAAATTTAAATATTGGATCTTTTGTTATTTAAATTGTGTATCACCTTCATTTGTAATGATTTATGGATGATTGAAATGTGATCCAATTTTTACTTTGTAAATAAGCAAAACATTCAAAATTGCTAGGGTGAGTCTTCCTACACAGTGCCCGACTCTAGACTAGACGAAGTTGCAACCTACCCTCAAAGTTCTTCATAGCCCGGTGGGAAAAAAAATATATTAATTATGCTTCAATTTTGGGTGAATTTTGATTTAATAATGGGTAAATTACATTTTACCGCCTTAGGTTTGAGGTCGATTTCAATTCCTTACAACATCTTTAAAACATTTCAATTTCATACATTTACTTATCATTTTATTTCAATTTCATACATCCGTTAGAAAATCTATTAAGTAAACCGTTAAGTGATGATGTGGCAAATATGGGGTCCCCATTTGTACTGACGTGGCTGCCATATTTGTGCCAAGTAGCTAAACACTTAATAAAAATTTTAAGATATTAAAATAAGTATTTAAAGAAAAGTTAAAATAAAACCAAAACCCAGATCCCCTTTTTCCCCAGAATCTCCACCCGTGCCCACCCTCCCACCCCCCATCACCCACCCCTTCCCTCTTTGCCCATCACCCATCACCCGCAACCACTTCCCTCCCCACTGCACCTCTATCTCCGACGAGAACCTCCCTGCCGAGCGCCTCCATCTACAACATGAAATCATGGAAACGGTATAGTCAGAGAAGCAACAAACCACCTTTTCCATTTTATTTTCCAAGTTTTTAAATTTCAAAAGTGTGAAAAGTTTGAGAGGAAGCACGTACGTAAAATTGTAAGAAAAACCCAGAAAATTCAAAAAATAAAATTTAGGTGAGAAAATAAATGTGGAGTGAAAAATTGGTAGGAAGGGAAAAATTGAGAAGAGATCTGAATCGGAGAAAATTTTCTCGAGAAAGTTGGAGATCACAGGGAAGGTGGAAAATTTTTGAAAGCTAGAAAATCCATAAAACCAAAACGAAAACGACTAAAAAATAAAAACCCACAAACCAAAAAACCCAAATGTTGAAGGAGTGGTGAAAATTTTCTCCATAAAGTTGTAGATCACAGCGGCGGTGGACGAAAAAAACCCATACAATCCATCTTCGTCGAAGATGGTGGTGGTCTTTATCAACTTGATCGACCGGGGTTTTCTTCGAGTGATGGAGGATGTCGAGAGAGTGGTGAGAGAGAAAGAGTGTTAGGGGGTGGGAGAAGGGGTGGGTGATGGGGGAAGGGGTGGGAGAAGGGGTGGTGATAAGGGATGAGGGGAGGGGTGGGTGATGGGGGGTGGGAGGGTGGGCACGAGTGGGGATTATGGGGAAGAAGGGGATTTGGGTTTTGTTTTTTGTTTTTTTGTTTTTAACTTTTCTTTAAATAATTATTTTAATATTTTATTAAGTTTTTAGCCACGTGGCACAAATGTGACATCCACGTCAGCACAAATGGGGACCCCATATTTGCCACATCATCACTTAATGGTTTTCTTAACATATTTTCTAACAGATGTATGAGATTGAAATAAAATGATAAGTAAATGTATGAAATTGAAATATTTTAAAGATGTTGTAAGGAATTGAAATCGACCTCAAACTTGAGGGGGTAAAATGTAATTTACCCTTTAATAATTTTTTAGTTATTTTAGTCATTGGATTTAATTTGGACAGTTAGATCTTTTTTTTTACCGTTATATTTGATCATATTCAATCTCAACCTTTAAATTAATGTATTTATAAGTTATATTTTAAAAAGAAAGTTGAATGTGAACGTTGTATCAACCAACAACCCAATTGTTACAACCGTTGGAGTACAAAATAGGCTTTGGGATGGGATAAGGTGGCAGATAAAGTTGTCAGCGATGGGTCACCCACTGCAGCTTCGCCTTGTGCAGGAAAGTGGAGAGCGTCTGGGCGTAGTGGTTTTCAATTCTTGGGAGCGTTCACCTTTATCGTGGAGACATGCTGCTCACCTGGCTTAATTTTTGGGCTAAATTTGCTTAAATTTTAGCCTAATTGTTGGAATATATTTGGGGTTTTAAAACTGAAAATGTAGGTTTTTTTTTTTGAACAAACAATATTATTCATAGGGAGGGGGTGGGCTTAGTTGCACAATGGCTAGTAATGATGTGGTTTAAATTTGCATTTGTCAATGATCGAACCTAAGACCTCTCATTTACAAGTGAAGAGAAATACCACTAGATCATAGTACTAAGTGACAACTAATAATGTAGATTTTAACTCAACCGTTAGAGTTGATCTTAAAGGACATTACAAAAGTTACAATGAATTGTCCATATTATGAAAAGTTGAACGATAGGACTCAAATTCGAGCTGTTATAAATAGACAAAAGTTAGAGAAATAACCTTTGCTAAAGACAGGAGCGAAGTGGGTGCAAAATATCACACTATAACTTTAGTAGCTATAACACAAAGGATGACAGATAAAGAGAGGGAGGGAGATATACTGATATTATTTTTTTTATTCTTTCTTTCGCAGTGTGTGTTTTGATAACACATAGATCACTCTATTTATAGAGCTACTCCCATGAGAACATCCAAAAATGATCTGATGGCTACTTTTGACAATATTACATAACAACAAATATATCACTATCATTTTCACCTTTTTTCCAAATGCATGTGGGTATACTAATGCATGTGGGATGTGGGCATACACCATACAGTTCTTACAACACCCCCTTGGATGTCCGCATATCAACATCAGTTGCCTCGTTAAAACCTTGCTTGGAAAAATCCAGTGGGAAAAAACCATAACGAAGGAAAAAGAGTACAACTTTACTTGGATTGTTAATATAGTGTTATGTAAGCTTATGTTGCCTTGTTAAAACCTTGATAGGAAAAACCCAGTGGGAAAAATCCTAATCGAAGGAAAAAGAGTACAACATGCATGTATCATGGATGCTCCTCCTGAATTGTATCTCCCCCTGATTCTGCATTCTTCAAATTTAGTTGATTGGTAAGCCGACGTAATCCGATTCCCTGCACTAACTTCTGAAATGTGCACTTTGGTAAAGATTTGGTGAACAAGTCTACCAGATTTTCATTGGAACGAATCACTACAAGAAAACATGGATTAAGTGACCGAATTTTTTGTGGCGCATGAAAATTCATCACATATAGGTAAAACAAGTGACGCTTTTTTAAAAATTGTCACTTTAAGATTTTTGCAAGACACCAAAATATTTTGCATCACTTATACTTTTGGATTTGCCACAAAAAATTGGGCAGGAAAGTTTACCGACAAACGAAACTTTAATAAGTGACGCAATGTTAAATTAATCACATAAGAAGAGGGAAGGCCACCTGGCCATTCCTCACATATAATACTGAATTAAAAATAAAAAATATAGATGCAATTATCAAAACCCCCAAATAACAAAACCTATCCATTTATTCTCATTTCTTCCTAGTCTTCAGCACCCTTTCGTCTACTCCTTCACCCTAACTTCGACGACCGACTATTTGGTGGTTGCCAACGACGACGACTACCACCTCTCCTTTGTCTCACTCCCTCAGCCATTCTCCCACCCTTTGATTCTCATTCACTCTCTTATCTATTTGACATAACAAAATCAAATTGGGGAAAGAGAAGTTCTATTTTTTTCTCAAGTTCTTTCAGTTGACAACAAGGTACTTTGTTTTTCTATATTTCTTTAATTGTTTTTGGATTTTTTTTTCTTTAATTGTTCCCCAGATTCTGATTTTCTTTCGCTAAAGATCCTATTGTTGGTGAATTGTTCTCTGCTTCAGGGAGAGTTATACTAGCAGTGAGTTTTCTGTTCCAATGAGAGTTTTCTGTTCCAATCTTGATTCTTCTTATTCTTTGGAGTCAAAATTTTGGTCTTGGTGGTTAATATATGTTTTTATATTTTTTTCTTAGTCCCCTGACTAAGTGTTAACTTTTTTTTTTCATTTTTGTTCAAATGTTGGAAGTCTGTAACCATTAAGTTGCGTGTTGTCTTTCTTGAGACTAGTGTTGTCAAGAGTCAAGACTAGGTTCACCTTGAAATTTTTTGGGTAGGGCCTACAATGATCTTAGTGCCGTTTCTTACTAGCTACTTGTGATAGGAATTCTTTAGATGTGTACTTTCTTGTGTTTTGGCTGGCTGAAAAGGGATGATGGTAGGAGATCTGGTAGTACATAAATATAAGAAATGATTAAAACTACTTACATCCCTCCAGTAGAGCTCCGAAAATCACTCGTAGAGTTCTCTGGAAATTTTAAGTTTGTTTGAATGTATTTTTCATAGATTGATTGAATGGATAAGAGGAGATATATAATGAGGTAGAAAGTCACAAGCAAACAGTTCTTCACGAGGGTATATCCAGTATGTGAGGCAAAGGAAGAAGAAGAATAGTAAAATCCTACAAAGAAACATTTTCGGCGAATGGAGATGATAACTGTTTAGGGTTAGAGAGTCGTGTTGATAACGTGTTATAAATATGCAAAAGTTAGAGAAATAACCTTTGCTAAAGACAGGAGCGAAGCAGGTGTAAAATATCACACTATAACTTTAGTAGCTATAACACAAATGATGGCAGATAAAGAGAGGGAGGGAGTTATACTGATATTATTTCTTTGATTCTTTCTTTCTCAGTGTGTGTTTTGATAACACACAGATCACTCCATTTAGTACTAGTTTGGTACTGAGGTACTTTTATAAAAAATGAGTATAAAAAAAAGTTGAGCTCAAAAAGGTGTTTAGTAAACACTTAAAAACAGCTTATTTTCACAGTTTTTGGTGAAAAAAAAGCTAAAAACGTGAGGCAGCAAAAATGAGTTTATTCTCATAGCACAGTAGAAACAATTTTTTTTTCAAAGCACAGCAATACCAAACTAGCCCTCATAGAGCTATTAAGATCCAAAAATGATATGATGGCTATTTTTGACAATATTACATAACAAATATATCACTTTCTTTTTGACCTTTTTCCAAATACACGTGGGATGTGGGCATACACCATGCATTTTTTACAACACGAGCATGATTGAGGAACCAATTTTCGAATTATAACCGAGTTGCCACCGAATTGATCTTGAATCAAACACCCACCCACTCTTTGATGCTAGTAAACTATCTTTTGCCGGGTAAGCAATCCTATTTGGTTTTGCTGATTTCTTTTGTTTTTTAGGGTAATTCAGCAAATCCAGTAGCTTTGGTATTTTTGTCTATTTATTTGCTATAATTTTTTTTTTGTATGGCGCTTTACATTTTCCTGTAATCTCTCATTTATCTCCTAGAAGTTGAATTCAGGTTTGAATTTGGGTTTAGGGTTTAGGGTTTAAGCTGATGAGAGTGATTGTATTTATGCTGTGGGTTTTGGGTCTTAAGCTAATGGAAACGATTGTGTTGTTCTTGTAGCGGCGGTGGCAAATGGGGGAAGGGGGAAATACAGTTGGTGATTCTCCAGTCGAAACATCATTGGAGAGGGTAGAGGCCTTGCTGGAGCTACCCAACTCCCCTTTCCAAAGTGTTCTGATTGTGCACTAAGATGTTTATTAGAGATATAGATCCTTCTTTTACGATAGAAATTTGTAGTTTGAGATGGTTTTCTATGTGTGGCAGGCTGCTAGGTACGATGACATCTATGATCTTAAAAGCTTAGAATCTGCTGGTCTTTCTCTTGATTCTAAGGATCTCCACGGCCGAACAGGTTATTCATATTTTCGTTCTACCACATTTATCATTCTATTGTTGGTTTAAGGAATTAGTTTGCGCTAGGATTAACAGATTCAACATGCGATGACACTTTGTGGATTCATCTAGTTCTTTTAACGAGCATGCATTTTTTACTTTTCTTTTGTTTGTTTGCTTTCCTGGGAATAATCACTTGTATCCCATGTAATAATGTTGGAACTTGGACTGGATCAAATCACCCATCCAGAGGCCTTGCTTTCGCACGACTAGCTGTGGATAATGGCCCTTTCTTTCTTCCTTTCTTAATTCTTGTACTAGTTGGTCTCCATAAGGTTGATACTGTAACGAACAGAGCAATGATTTGCCATCAGGAGTGCTTTAGGAAAATCTGAAAAATATTTCTGTGGTTAAGAATTTTGAGATTCAGCGGGTAAGGTCACTTTTATATACCCTCGGAGTCAGAGGTTTGATAAAATTGATAACAATCTGTAAATTTTGTGAAGAAGGTAGAGAAGTTGAAGAGATGCAGGAGTGGTATTGGAAGAATAGGGATCTCTAAACCTAATTTATCCTGGAAGTAAAGAATTAGGTTTTCCATTTCATCAGAAAGTAGTTAGGTGTTAGGATGTTTGAGGACATGAGGGTTGAAGAGGTGGATTATTTGATAGTCTTGTTTTTATTGTATAATCTGTTTATATAGATTAAGTCTTGTTTTCAAAGAAAGGGGACGATCCCTCTACTCTTTCTTAACTGTGGATGAATCAGTAACACCTCCTGAACAGTAGATTCCAAAGTCCACGGACAGCACAAAAAGCTACAATTTTAAGTCATCTTTTTGGTGCAATGTTGCATTAGTTATGGGATGTGTCCTTCCCTCCTCCTTATTCTGTGGACTCCGCTTTGAGAAGAGTAAGAGAATCCAACTTCATGTTTTGCTATAATTTTGAAAACAATGGACATACTCTTGTTTTTTTTTTGTTTTTAAAGTAGAGTTTTGTGGACGTTTCTGGCAATGTCATATTTGGTTTTCATCGTCTTTGAATTGTTGTTAACAGTTATCAGCATGGGGTAGCAGAGGATATCTTCCTGTTGCAGTTGAAGTTACCAAAACGCTTGTCGAAATTCAGCAAAAAGATCCTCAGTTTAGGTACCTTTTTCACACAACTCCACTCCTCCGAGCCTTTTCAGATCAACTTCTTATGTCCTTTTTTTCTCGGCGGGGGCGGGGGATAATGTGTTTGTTCTACTATGCTAACTTCATGATGTGTTTTGTGAACTATAGAAAGGAGCAGTCAATGATTTGATAATTGTAAAACGAATCAATCAAGTGCTGCTTTGCTTTCAGAGGAAATGTTGGCCATGTTATATTGTATGGCAATCACAAGGTGAGCTTTCTTTAGTGTTGTGTTCTTAAATCTCTGTTCTTTTCTTTAATCCCTTATCGTCATGTGATGTATGGATTTATATGAATGTAATGCTCTCATAGTTATTAACCACAGTGCAATAATTTGTATAAACAAGGCCTTTGATCAACTATAATACTCAATTAAACCACACAAACTCTCTCTCTCTCTCTCTCTCTAACAATATTGAAAAACTGTTTGAGTTGTTGACTTATCCCAGCTGCATTACACTTTCAGCTATACCTGAAACCTTCCCATTCAATAGTATATAGAAGGAAACGTTTTACTAAAATTTGGTAGTTCTGAGAAAGAACTCCAGCCTTTTGAAACTCCATATATAGAAGATGTATAAGTTCGTTGTACAGATCATTTGGAAGATAGTCTTTAAGCATCTGAAGTTCTTGTCAGTAGTTCTTTTGATATTAGCGCTTATTATTTCCAATTTTTTGCATGTGGTCCAATATCCTAGTGGATAGGGTGTTGGGTTCTAACCATGCATCCCGAGTTCGAAACGCCCCCTCCCCCTAAAGTTTTTGATGATAAAACTTTTCTTTTTCCATGTTCCAGTCACTTTCTTCAGAAATAAAGTTTATCATCTCTCTCTATTTTCTGTAGTGTTAGTTGAACCAAACATGGTTTAAAGAACAGTATTGAATGGAATCTGGCTGTAGTTTGGAAGTAATAAGGAAAGTCTGGTGAAGTCACTGGGATTAACGGAAAATGTGCTGTAGTAGTTGTTTGGATTAGCTAAAAAGCATATCAGAAATTGACATACCCATGTAAAGCTAAATCGAGCAATCATAATAAAATTTAGAGGGACACTTGTATTATGTTACATATCATGAGCTATGATTTGGGCTCCTTTCCTTTTCCTTCTAAATGGAGAGGACCTCATCTTTCATTGTTATTGCCAATCATGTATTACGGAAAGTTGCTTGTCTTTACAATATGCTCAGACTAGTGTAAATCATAATTGATGTCCATGATTAGCGAACTGCAGTCTCCATTAATATGCTCAGACTAGTGTAAATCATAATTGATGTCTGTGATTAGCGAACTACAGTCTCCATTCGAAAGGTGTTACCAAGATATTGAAAAGTCTTAATGGGTTGTATTCTTCCTTCTCTCCAGAAGTTGTTTCTGTACTGTTGGAGTTCTTGTTGAAGGCCTATGAATCCTCAGAATCCTTGGAAGCAGAGTTACTTCTGTCTCTTCTGAAGACTGATGTATGAGACGGGTAATCACCTGACCTAAATTTCTTTGTATTTGTTTGTTCCATATTCAGATAGACTGGTAAACTTATGCTGAGGTTATACATAGAATCTTTTGATATTTACATGTTTAGAATTGGATTGCTTTTTTACCGGACATGGGTCAGTGATCTAGTATGCAATAAGGATTAGAAACAGCCTGATTTCCTGAGTTTAGAGAGTTTGTAAATATACATGAAACAGTTTAATACTGGGATATGTTTCCTCTTGCTTCCCCTCATCAAATTACATATTTCAATCTTTGTATTACATTTGGTAGCTACTAAACAGGAATGTACAAAATACTATATTTCCTTTAGATTGGAAAAGCGTGTGCTTGCACAAGGTTCCAGAGCATTAGCTGCTGAATTAGGCTAGATGAATAATCGACATTGAGTATACAAAAATTCTGTGTAGGCGTCCTTTTCTAGTATAAAATACTACACAACAGCTTATGGTCATGGAGAGGAGCCGAAAGCATGTTCGTTGTTCATGGCAGCTAGCCAGATGCAGTTTTAGGTGAATGGTGTATATTTAGTTTCGTAGTCTAATTTCAGAGTGCACACACCTGCATTTAATTTGTGTTAAAGTATGCATTTGATATTCTCAGTTCCTAGCATGAATTCAACGTCATGTGTAAAGCTGGATACACAAAATCCTCTGCTTCACCAAAATTGAGCGTCTGATAGATTTCTCAAGTGCTCAAAACTTTAAAATATCCAAATGTTCTTATCCTGGTTGCTATTCTTATGAATTTGTCTAGGAGGGTTTCACACATCACCAGACCATAGGGCAGAGGTTGAACACCTCTCCTCTCTCTTCACATGGCTCGTGGAATTAGAACCTCGTCATGAAAAAGATTCTTCAGCAGAAAAAACCATCTCCAAAGCAATTCTGGTTGAGCTCCCATGTAAATGGCTTATTGTATCAGCTTTTGCTAATAACAGGCTCATGGATTCTCTCCTCCATCTTGCACAGCTGACAGAGGACTGCTTTTTAGTTTTATCACATTCGGATACTGCAGAAGATGTTCTTCTAGTGTTCTTATAAATACAAATTATCTACATTTAAAGCAAGATGAATCATCAGTCAAGCGGCAAAGAAGCTAGAACTGATTAATGTCGCAAAATGAAGAGCAAAGAATTGAAGAAGACAGATGCTGATGTCGGAAATACAAACAAATGGGTTCTGCCCAAATGAGGGAACCCACGTCCGATTGGAATGTTGCCTCGAGCTATTGGGTTTTCTGGCTGCCTTCCTCTTCTGGATGTCAATAATGTCCCAGAAAAGGTTCCTGGATTACTAGGAAGAAAAGAGAAGTGGAAACTGAAACAATGTAGTGCCATGAGACCTGTAAAACTCAATTTTGGTCAAAATAATATGTCCAAGCAGTCGAGAGTAAGTTGGTAATGTTTCTTACATTACATTTCAATACACCGAAACATGTTAGAACTTTCTCACCTTTCGATGTAGCACTTCATTCCGTTATCAATGTCCATTCAAATCTACAGCAGTGCAATGATATGATAGAGAAGGTACCGCAGGGGCAACTTGAGAACACATGAAGTGCAATACACAAGCGTGTGATCTCAGGTTACTCATGGAACCTCTCTACCGCTTTCGCTTATCTCTGTACAACTTCCCTGCCTTAGAGTGGTCACATATAGCACAACTTAGGACTTAGTTGTGTACTATTTTCACTCCATTGTACTACATGGTTCTTTCTGGTACAAATCTTCTTGTTTGACCATATACACGTTTATTTATTATTTATTGGATTTAAATGTACTAGAATGTTAATGTGGTACAGTTTGATTATTCGAAATTGCTTCGTACAAAGGCAGCTATGTACTTTTCAAGTTATTCTTTCTGGTTATTCAAAATTGCTCTAGTAATCAACGGACAAGATTTCACCACCTGATTTTCAGAATCCCTACTATATATGAATTTTGTAATAATTCACATTCATAACACAAGTCCCAAATACAAACGAGTGTCTTTATTGACTAGAAATTCTTTTCTGCGCATGCAGGTTGTGCTCATGAGTTATTTTGTTTGGACCTTAACTTGTAATTTATATGAGTTCTACAACAAAGTTATGTGCCAAAACACTTGGGTTTTGGGATTTGGGGAAAAACTGAATTTACGAATTCAGACCCCTAGCATGTTCCAAAAATAATGTGTCACAAGTCGGGTGCATCCGTATTTGACCATCAACTTCTACGGGGTGCAAATTATGCTTGATGCCTAGATCCATCATACTAAGACGAGTGTTATGTGTCCTTTTTCTTACCATCAATGTCCATCAATATTTCTACAACTTTCTCACACATTTTTTTTGCGTTGTTTCAAAATTGTGACCTAATTTTTGTTGGCGAGAGTTAATGCTCTATAGGGATTCAATGCATGTTGGCATGAGTCAATGTGCCTAGAATAGGAATTCAGTATTCAGTGTTACCAGAATATGAATTCCATATTGTACTATATATTTTGATATTGTCCTCCTATTGAGAGAAATAAAACACGGAAAACATTCAAAATCCTAGATCTACTTTTATCTGGGTGTCGGTGCAGGTTTCGACCTTTCTGTTCCCTAACACTAAACTTCCTGTCGTCGTGCAAATTACAGTCGACCAAACCTTTTCTAGCTGATTTTGAAACCTTAAACCAACCCAAACAAACTCACACCACCTTGTGTTCTCTGGGCAGCGCCGATCCAAATAAAAAATTACACCAGAAAAACTCTAATTCATCCCGCTCAACAATTCCGCTGCAATGGCTAAAGAGAAGTCTACGATATTTCATACTCAAACTGTACCTATCCCAAGTGGGTCAAGCAATCATTGCAATGGGAAAAAGCATACACAAGAAACATGTTTAGAGAGGAGGAAGTAGCTCAGGGAAAAAGGAAACACACAGGCCAAGGTAAAGGTGGCAGATGCTGGATGAATTAGTTCTAGTGGAGCAAACCTAGCCCGATAAGCCGAATGATAGTAATAATGGCTTAGTTCTTTCTTTAATCAGCCAATTCTCTGCAATTGATGGTTTTGATGCTTCAGGTAATATCCTTACTGCCTTAGTAACATCTGCTGACGGTGTTACAGGTTGGATTCCAGAGCCACAAATCATTTGACATATGATCAATCTTTGCTTCACCTAAATAGAGTTTTGTAACTGCGAATGTTGATTTTATCTCTGTCACTAAAGTGAGATCCATACCTCTTACAAATTCTTTGTCATTACATAATGTACTACTTGTTGCGGCTCTATCAAATCTATTAAGAAAAGTATTTTCCATTGCATAAATGAATAATGTTTACACTTGGGTACTTATACACAAACTATCACAACCAACAGAAAAGGAAAAACAACCAAAACAAACTAAGATTCCTTATCCTCTAAGTATTCTCCCTTGTAAGTGTTATTACATTTTTATCCTTAATATCCCCCTGCAAACGAAACTGGGGAATTTTTAGTTGAAGTTTGTCTCGTAGAATCATGAACCTGGATTTAGAGAGAGATTTGGTACATATATCAGCAATTTGGTCCTGTGTTTGAACAAACTACAGAGAGACTTGATTGGCAGGAACATTTTCACGTATGTAGTGATAATCGATTTCAACATGCTTGGTCCGAGCATGGAATATAGGATTTTTGGCCAATGAGATTGCAAAAACATTATCACACCATAACTGTGGAGAAGAATGGAGAGGATAAGCAATGTCAGTGAGCAATATGCAAATCCAAGTGATTTCAGCATCTGTGTTTGCAAGAGACCGGTATTCCACTTCTGTGGAAGATGGAGCGACAATGGGTTGCTTCTTGGCACTCTAGCTAATGAGTGAGTTGCCAAAGAATATGCAATATCCACCAATGGATCTTCTATCAAATGAATAGCCTAGCCAATTGGCGTCTGAAAAGGCTTGAAGAGATGCAGTCGTGGAACTCTTGGAAAACCATAAACCGAGATCAATAAACCCATTTAGGTATCTGCGAATGCGTTTGATTGCTTGTAGATGTGAAACTCGTGGCCTGTGCATGAATTGACAAACCAAGTTGACTGCAAAACTTTGATCAGGTCGTGTCCAAGTTAAGTACTGAAGTGCTCCAACCAAAGACCAATATTCAGAATCATTGTCAAGAAGAGGAGAAGAGTGATCAAGTTTAGTTGTACTAAGAGGAGTGCTACAAGGTTTAGCACCTTCCATTTTGGCTTTGGTTAAGAGATCCAAAATGTACTTAGTTTAAGATATGAAGAAACCAGAGGATGATCTTTTGACTTCAATACCAAGGAAAATAATGAAGGGCACCAAGATCCTTAATGGGAAAAAGGGCACTGAGTTAAGTTATAACCTCTTGACATGCTGCAGAATCTGGACCAGTCACCAAGATATCATCCACATAGACTAGGATGAAAACCAATTATGGAGATCTCTTCACAAACAAAGAATGATCACTTTAAGAACCTGTGAACCCAAGAGATATCATCCACATAGACTAGGATGAAATCCAATGATGGAGATCTCTTCACAAACAAAGAATGATCACTTTAAGAACCTGTGAACCTAAGAGAATGCAAATCATGATGAAGTTTGTCATACCAGGCTCCTCAGGCCACAAAGGGATCTGTGCAGTTGACAACATGAGTTGGTTTTGTGGGATCTTTAAAACTAGGTGGCTAGTGCATAAACACGAATTCAGTAAGTGTGCCATGTAGAAAGGCATCACTTACATCTAGTTGATTGAGAAACCAATCAAATGGAGCTGCAAGAGTGAGAATAAGTCAAATGGTCACATGTTTGGCAACTGGACTGAAGGTTTCAGTATAGTTCAATCCTTCTTGTTGGTGAAACCCTTTTGCAACCAAGCGGGCTTTATACTTGTCAATAGAGCCATCTGGTTTTCTCTTAATCCGAAAGATCCACTTGTATCCAACAAGGTTTTGAGAAGAGGAAAAGGGTACAAGGGACCAAGTGCCAGTTTTGAGAAGAGCATTAAACCCTTCTTGCATTGCTGTGCGCCAATGAGAGTGTTTGGAAGCTTGTAGATAAGTTTTAGGAACATAATCAACTGCAAGATGAGGAGGAAGAGGATGTTTAGTTGCAGTTAGAGCTTTTGGTTTACAAATGCCAAACTTGGATCTTGTCTGCATTGGGTGAATATTGATGGGACGATATGTTTGTGAAGAAGAGGGTTGTGATGAAATGGGGGATGATGATGTGGTTGCAGGATATAAGGGATTTGATATAGTGACATAATATGAGGTGGAGAGATTATTAGAGGATGTAGCAGCATTAATTAGCATGGATGTGTTTAGATGTGCAGGGTTGGAAGGACAAGGGTGAAAAGTAAGGGATGAAGGCATGGTAGATTGAGATAATGTGGAGGTAACAAGTTTGGAAGATGAAAGATGTTGAGAATGGTAAGGAAAACTGAACTCATCAAAAAGCACACGTCTTGAAATATATATTCTATGAGTGATTGGATCAAGACAAAGATAGCCCTTGTGATTTAGGCTGTGCCAAGAATACACATGCCTTGCTCTTAGGCTCCAGTTTTGAAGATATGTATGGTTTTATCCATGGGAAATAACAGCAACCAAAGACCTTGAGAGACTTGTAATCTGGGATTCTGTTAAAAAGAGACTGCCAGGGAGAAAATCTTGAAATAGTTTGTAGTCTATTAATGAGATAAACAGATGTAGCAAAAGCTTCTACCCAATATTCATGAGGAACTTTAGATGTAGTTAAAAGAGTCCAAGCAGTCTTAACTATGTGCTTGTGCTTACGTTTCCGCACACCCATTTTGCTCAGGGGTGTGAGGACAAGTAGGTTGATGCTGAATACCATTAGCAGATAGGAACTGAGAGAAATCAATACTAACAAATTCACTACCAGAATCAGATCGTAATGTAATAATGTTTGTTCCCAGAGAATTTTCAACAAGAAATTTCCATTTCATAAAAGTGGAGAGTACATCAAATTTGCACTTTAGGGATAGAACCAACAATATCGAGTATAGTCATCTATGAAAATGATATAGTACCTAAAACCATGATGAGAAACTGTGCGTGAAGGTCCACATACATCTGTATGTTGTTCTAAAGGTTTGTGTGTAGTACAATTGGAACTAGAAAATGGAAGCTTAGAACATTTCCCTAGTGCACAATCTGAACAAAACTTCTTATTTGAACCTTCAGAAACCAAGATGCATGACTGATATGCCTATTTATTTATGATCTTAGTAGATGGGTGACCCAATCTTTGATGCCAGAGATACCTTGGAGCTTTGATAGAGGTTGATTAGTTGTAGGCAAGATATAAAATATCGATGATATCGGAAATATCAGTAGTCCAAAAACACGGAAATTTCGATGGAAATATCGGGATATTATCAATATGGATAAAAATAGAATTAAAACCACGAAAATTGTAAGAAAAACTTGGAAATTTTTGTTGAAACTTTGCAAGATGTTTATTTAATCAACTATCTATTAGTTTATCATAAAAAATTGGAAGGAAATGCATTGCATGATAGATATAACTGATTTAAGTTGATTTTATAGCGAGCTGGCAAACATTGTGAGTGTAGAAAATATGTAGTACTTAATGAAAGAAGTTTAAACACACCATAATCATTTATATATAATGAATTAGTACAATATTTTACACTTTATACATTGCATGGTAAGATACATGAGTGACTTAGCAAGGTCTAAAATATCGATGATATCGGAAATATCGGTAGTCCAAAAAAACGGAAATTTCAATGGAAATATCAGGATATTATGGATATTTTAGACCATGGTTGTAGGAGATGATGATGATAAGTGAAGAGAA